TACTCAAAGTAATCTACAGATTCAATGCAATCTTTATCAAAATCCCAATGGCTTTTCACAGAAATAAAAAAGTCAATTCTAAAATTCATATGTAATTATAAGGGGGTCCTGATAGCCAAAATTACATTAACAAAGAACAAAGTTGGAGAACTCATATTTCCCAACTTCAAAACTTACTACAAAGCCACAGTAGTCAAAACAGCATGGTACTGGCATAGGGACAGACACACAATCAGTGGAAGAGAATTAAAGTTGAGAAATAAACCCATACATCTATAGTCAATTGATTTTCATCAGGGGTGCCAAGACCACTGAATGGAGAAAGAATAGTCTGTTCAACAAATAGTGCTGGGATAACTGGATAGTCATATTCTTACCTCACACCATATATAAAAATTACTTTCTACCATATATAGAAAATCAACTAAAAGTAGATCAAAGACCTAAATAAAAGAGCTAAAACTATAAAACTCTTAAAAGAAAGTATGGGTATAAATCTTCATGACCTTAGATCTGGCAATAATTTCTTAGAGATAACACCAAAAGTGCAAGAAACAAAAAGAAAAATATATATAAATTGGACTTTATCAGAATGAAAAAAACATTTGGACACTAAAGGACATTATCAAGAGAGTGAAATGACAGATCATAGAGTGGGAGAAAATATGTGCAAATCATATAACTGACAAGGGTCTAGTATCCAGAAAGAACTCTTACAATTTAACAACAAAGAGACAAACAACTAAATTTTTAAAAAAGTAGACTACGGACTTAAATGGACATTTCTCCAAATAAGATGTACAAATGGCCAAGAAACTCATGAAAAGATGCTTAAAGTCATGAGTCATTAGGGAAATGCAAATCAAAACCACAATGAGATACCACTTCACACCCATTAGGATGGCCACAATTTTTAAAAAAGAAGAAGAAAATAACTGAGTGAGGATGCAGAGATACTGGAACACTCACATATCATTGACGGGAATGTAAAATGACAGCTGCTGTGGAAAACAGTTTGGTAGTTCCTCAATAAGTGCAATTCCACTCGTAGCCAAAGTAGCTGAAAACGTATGTCCACACAATAGCTTGCACACAAATGTCCATAGCAGCATATGGTATGATTCCACTTGTATGAAATTTTCAGAACAGACAAATCCACAGCAACAAAAATCTGATTAGTGGTTGCCAGGGTCTGGGAGGAGGGGAAAACGAGAGTGACGCTGAATGAGTGTAGAGTTTCCACTGGGGATGATGAAGTTCTGCAACAGGTAGTGATGATGCTTGCACAACCCTGTAAGGGCACTGAATGCCACTGAATTGTACCCTTTAAAAATGGTTAAAATGGCAAGTTTTACATTACGTGTATTTTACCACAATTTTATGTTATGTGTATGTAATGATGAAGTAAAAAAATTAAAATATACAAATTATAAAAACTTTAAAAGTCTATTTGCTCTGAGCATTTATCTATAAAAATATAATTATTTCCAATCTTTTTCTTAATTTTTATTTTAAATTTTCTTGTCCCTATCCAGAATCAGTAGTGAAGTGAATGAAAACACTGACTTTGAGTCTAACAAAGGTTAGGTCCAAATTAGCTCTGTCACAGACCATTTAAAATCAGGAAAATTTCCTTTCTTTGAGCCTCAGATTCTTCACCTGTTATTCAGGGTAATGAGAACTGACAATAATGTCCATAAGAAACACAGGAGAGTTCCCACTTGCCAAGGTAGTGACAATTTTTAAAATAATCATAATTGTATGGATTGAAAAACACTAAACCAATAAAATACAATGAGTTCATAATGACAATCAAATTTTTTTTAATCCAGAAAAAAAATGCCACTCTTCATAGCTACTTTAAAAACTCCTTCCTTTTAACATTGGTAATTAAAGAATTAAATTTATCTTGTTTTTCCAGGAGGAATTATATTTTAGAATAATCTAACAGTTCCAATTGATGATGATGGTTCAGAGATTGCTAGACATAAAAGTATTAGAAATATAGAATTAACAAAATTTATTTCACAAACCCCAGTGAAATTTTTTTTGATTTGGGTGAGAATTAGCAACTGCTATTAAAACCATTAAAACTGCAGTCGTACTGTAACACCACACAAATGACTCCGGAGTTGCAAAGGCACCCACAAGAAGCTAGGAAGACATAGACTGTCATCACTACAACCCAATGGTTAGTCTTAGCTTTACTGATAGTGGGTCAGATATTGTTGCCTAGGGCTTCAGGGGATGGGGGGGAGGGGTGCAGGGGAGGGATGACATCTAAAGGGTACAGAGTTTCTTCTCGACGTGATGAAAATGTTCTAAAGTTGATTTGATGATGGTTGCGCAACTCTGTGAATATACTAAAAACAACAAATTGTAGACTTTAAACGGGTGGAGTATTTGATATGTAAACTATATCTCAATAAAGCTGTTGCCCTCCTCCCCCCAAAAATTATATACAACTTTATCCAGCATGAAGCACCTTCAATTCAAATATAATAACCTAGCACCTACAGAAAAGGGGATTAGAGAAAATTGGGTACTCAAAAATATCAAATAAAAATTTAAGAACATAGTGTGAAGAAGTAAAAAGCATTAAAGAAAAATAAAGTATCCAAAAATACCTTCTTTCTCCACCTATCTTGGCTAAAAACAAAGATTTGCATAGTATGACAACTATGTTACATGTTAACCAACAAAGAGACATGGCAGTTAAAAATGCTGAGAAATTACTGCTCCAGCACTATAATATCAAAATTGAAGTACTGAAATTTTTACAAAAGTGTAGTATTTTTATTGAGTTATCTCAGAAGTTGATATACAGCTTCATTTTTTACTTTGGCTGAATATTAATACTCTGTCATTTAAAATTCAGCAAAAATGTGTATTTAGTGTACCTGTATTTTAATGGTCCCATCTTTTGCAGTGAGAAAAATTAATTTAATTGCCTACGCCTACATCTTTCATATTTCCCCTTTTTTCATCCGTTTTCTTTTTTGGAATCCTTGCCTTCCTTGAGACCAGTTCTGCAGAAAAACCTAGAGTCCTTCAACCAAGCCCAGGATGTCATCCAGCTACAGAGAGTCTGCTAGAACAGGAGTCATCTCCACCCCTGTCATGGGGTGGGTTGAAAATGAGTCTTGCTGCCCTCAGATACAGCCCAAGGTAGCTGCTCTACCTGTGAGTCCTCTCCCAGTAGGGATAGGAGCCTCTGCCACCTCTTCTCTCGTGCCCAGCTCTGGGCTGGGAGCACTTTTAACAAGACTCTCCCCTACACCAGAACCACAAGGCTTCACCCTGTGACTTGCCAACCCCTAGTTCCAGACTGTACCCCTTGGGAGACTGTCATGGGCTGTGCTGAGCCCAGGAGCCCCCTGAGCTTGTCTTCCACCCCAAGTCCTCCATGATGGTGCCCTCCTAGACTGGGCTCCCTGTCTTCCTGAGACACTCCTGCCTGGGTATGAATACAGATCAGCCATGCTGGGGGCACCATGCCTTGCAGCCGGACTGACACAGAAGTTCTCTCTCCAGGGCTCATGGGACTTTTCTCTCAAAAATGTACAGAACTCATATGACAGGATAACAATTGTTTTCAATGAAACATTTTTTCTATTATTTTTTTTCCTTTTTTTGTCTTCCCATTTGTCTTAGTCCCTTGTGTTGCTATAACAGAATACCACAGACTGGGTAATTTATGAAGAAAAACAATTTATTTCTTACAGTTCTGGAGGCTGGGAAGTCCAAAGTTGAGGGGCCACATCTGGTGAAGGCCTTCTTCTTGCTGTGTCATCCCATGGCAAAAGGTGGAAAACAAGAAAGCGCAAGAGCAGGAGAGCAAGAGAGAATCAAACTGGCTTCTATAACAAGTCCACTCGCTCACTAACTAACTCACTCCCATGACAATGACATTAATCCATTCGTGAAAGCAGAGACCTCATGACCTCATCACCTCTTAAAGGTCCCACCTCTCAACACTGCTGCATTAAGGATTAGGTTTCCAACACGGGAACTTTGGGGAACACAGTCAAACCACAGCACCACTTAAGCAACTGGGCTCTTCTATTCTCACTGCCTCAGGAAAAGGATATTGTAAGCACAAACAGAATTTCTTTTTTAGAAAGGGAGTCTCTTTCTGGCATTTGTGTTTTCTTATTTGTGCCCTTAAGAACAGAAAGAACTCATACCACAGTCTTAGATTTAAAAGAATTTTGTGAAGGAAATAAGGTTCTCCCCAAAGTCCAAGGCTAGACCTAAAAATTCAAAGGGACCAAGAGTGTGTAGCCTGTATCCAGTGAGATCTTCCCTTCAACAGCTGCCGCAGTATTTGAGCCCATTGATTAACTTAGAAGAAACGATGCTTATTTGCACCCCAGACTTTGTTTGGTCCCCATTCAATTCACTCTGTGTGGATACTCCCTACAACATCTCTGGACTTCACAAAGTCCAAAGAAGAAGACAGAACCCTGGACACCAAGCTGGGCAGAGAGGAGAGGAAGGGACAGTCCCCACATCTTTTCTTGGGTGGAGATGAACAGCTAAACTTGAGAAAACTCCCTCACCAGGACAGTGGTGAAATACCCCTTCACCACACCGGCGCCACCATATAAATGTGAATTAAGTCTGAATTAAGTCACTTCCCAGAAAACTGCAGAAAGCTTAATATTTGCTCCCAGGAGGAAACGCCATATGTAAAGCTAGATGAATGCTCATGAGCTCTACAGAGGGGGCAGCCTCGTTCACTTCTCAGGCCACTAGCTTTCCTCCCAGGCAATCTTGTTCTCACATCGATGCACACATCCTTTCAGCTCTTCTCCCATTTGCCTCTCTTGGTTGCATCAGCAAATTCTCTCCTGTTCTCCCAGTGAAGTCATATGAACAGCCAGTTGCATTGGGGGATCCAAAACAACTTTCCAAGGCTACCCTTGAAGCCCATTTACAGAATTGTCTTTAGACGAAAGAAAAGTGGCAGAGGGAAAAAATACTAATTGAGAACCTCATGATTTGAAACTTGAAACAAGCAGAAAAGTTTATTTATTGCCCTTAGGTTGATCCTACAAATCTTGATCAATGTTTAATGCAACCTAAAAGTAAAATAAAAAGTAAATATGCTTTAATACACTTAGAACTGTGAAAAGGTGCAAGCCAAAGAAAATAGTTTAGGTAATTTCTATGAGACTATGTAAATGAAGCTTTTTGAGAGTTTCAGATAATTTCAAACAATATCCAAATAGAATATAATCATAAGTTATGTTCTTAAAGAGTTATTAACAGGTCATTTCTTCTGCTTTTCTTGGTATCCTTTCTCATTCTTCTTGAGGTCCTTTTCCTGTGGCCGCCCCTTAAGTGCTGGAATTTCTTTTTTTTTTTTTTTCTTTTTTTATCTTTTTTCGTGTCCGGCAACGGATCGCAACCCTCAGTGTCGCGCCCGTACCGGACCGGGACTGGCAACGGGATCGCAACCCTCGGTGCTGCGCCCACACCTCGCTCAGCCAGTGAGCGGGAACCGGTCTGTATGTGGGATCCGAACCCTCGGCAGGAGTGCCACCGCGCTCCCAGGCGGCGCACTGCAGCAGTACGCCACCGGGCCGGCCCAAGTGCTGGAATTTCTAAGAGTCTCACACACTGCACTGTCCCTGAGGTACATTACTCACTCCCCTAGAGTATCGTTCCCACTAGCCCATGGCCCCAAAGGGAAGGTGTTTGTCCACTGCTATTTTCTAGCCCCCTGCATAGTGCCAAATCATAGCAGACATTTAATAAAATCTTACCCGCTGACAGACTAGCACCAAGTCCTTCCAGCCCTGCTTTCTAAACAGTTATTGAAGACACCATGTCTTGTCACTCTAGATCACTGTCATAGCTTCTAACTGGTGTCCTCACACTTATTTCTCCATCCCTTCTCCACATTGTAGCCAGATGGTCTTTCTACAATGCAGTTCTGATCATTTCGGCCTCCACTGCCTTTAGGATAAAATCTAAACTCCGAGCAGGAATTATGTGTCTTTTCACGGTCTGGCCCTTACTTTCTCCCCTGCCTCATGTCATCTCTCCTAGTCTCACTCTCTCTCTACTCTCTCCTAACTGGGTCTTCACACTTTCTGTGCCCTTTGCCTGGAACACTATCCTCAGCCCTCCACCCCACCACTGAGTAACAAATAGTTAACCTCCTTCCAGAAGCCTTCTATGACCAAGATTCCTCAACTGTGCTGACTGTCCCACTTTGTCAGTGCCCGCTGATTAAAGTGACCAGTTGTACCCTTCTGTAAACCTCCTGCTTTATACCTGATGATGTGACTCAATTATTAATAACTCCTCCTTTCATTATCAAATGCATACTGGTTTAGACAACAGGTTACCTAGTCATCATAACAATAACTACTAAATGCTTGTCTAATCACGTTTCCCTCACTAGACAGGATAGCATCTAGCACCGTGCCTAGCACACAGAAGACATGATATGTTTGTTAAATAAACAAATGGACCTATATACTCTAAGAGCATGCACTCGGGATATTTACTGAGAATCAAAATGGTGCTCCCCCAAATTTAAAGATCATGTATTTCCCGAAATGTTTTAAATACACATTTTGAAGAGGTTTTGAGATTTTCAAAGTCTAACTCCAAAGTACACAGATACAGATGGATGGATAGAGATATTGATATAGATATGGGGCTGGACAGTTAGCTCCGTTTGTTAGAGCGTGGTGTTATAACATCAAGGTCAAGGGTTTGGATCTCTGTGCTGCCACTACGTACTGATATAGATGTAGATATGTCAATGACACACTTTGCAAAAGGGCAGAACGCCAATGACGAACATGGTCAGCAACCAGGGAACAGATTGTCTTTCTGTGAAGCAAAAGGCCCATTTGCCAACCAACCCTGGCCTCATTTGCGCTAGGCTCTACCAACGTAAAAAAAAAAAAAAAAAAAAATCTGCTTTTACAATACATTTTGATACTTACATCAGATAACATTGGTTCATCAAGTTCTTCCACTCTGCTCAAGTTAGGCGCTCCATACCTATCACTAATTTCAGCTAGTGTTTTGCCTGAGTCTACTGATGATTCCTACAATCATAGAATTCATTTTTACTTTTAAATAACCTTGAAATTAATACATTACTTTTTTCAATTTTGAGAAGAAATTTCTGAATTAAAGCATTAAAATTCAACATCGTTAATTGGATTAACCAATACTTGTTAATGACAAGAGAATTCTAGTAATAAATGGTGAAATTTATAAAAAATACATTCAGAAATTTAAAATATATAATTGTAAGTAATTCTGTGTGTAATGTTTCAGTATATTCTAGGTTCTAAAAATACAAACACAAACTGAATATCCAATTTTTATCCACTTGGAGATTTTGCTTCAAAGCATATATTTGTGACTTTTTATTAGTAAAATATATATTTGGGCTATCAGCTTTGATAACATTTATTAAAAATTAGGTATTAATGCATCAAAATGAAGTTTTACATTCCAGGAAACTCATTCATTTTACAGATCATAGAGTAACTTTTTCTTCTCACCTCTGAATGTAAAGTATCTTCACTCTTAGCTATATTTTCTATATTCATTCTCATCTGCTATAATATATAAAAATAAAGAAAATACTCTAAATGTACTTCATTTTGATCACATTATATTTTCAAGCATTTTTATTTTTACATATTGCTATGGTAAGTTTAACAGCAAAAATTCTTTTTTAAAAAAAAATTTCTTCCAGAAATAGTTTAACAAAAATTGGCCATTTCCAAAAAACACCCACTGCATGCCCATCAATAAAAGAGAAACATAACAAAATAGAAAACTGACCATATGGCTATGATTTAAAGAAAAAAAAAATTGTAGATACTCAAGCATATCAGCAAAGTCCAATATTAAACACATTTTTATGAGTTATGATTAGGAATCTGATGAGATACCAAAGTAAAACTTAATACAAATGCTGAACTATTAGGTCAAAGGAGCTCTATAAAAGCATCTGCCCTCAAAGGCATTGCAGTTTGAGAGTCAACTTTAAAATAAGGCATAAGAAATGTTAACAAAAAACATACAAGGTGATGAAAGTAACAGCCAAAATTGTCATTTTTTAAGGAGTGATCTGAATACACTTAATACAAAACTGCAGATCACAGTCTCATTTACTACTCTATACTAACAGAAGACAACCATGTTTTACATATAATTAAATAAAATCCCTAAACATAGTTTTAAAAAATACAAATGCTGATGTTACCTCTTTTTAAAAAATTAAATGAGCTGAAACATTCAAACTGAAGCCAAATTATTAGCAAATGTAAAAAGTGACAATATAAACATTCTAATAAAACCTTAGAACAAAAGACTGTAAAGAGAACTTGCAGTTAGGTAGAGTTGTGCACATAGTGAGAAAGAAGTAAATATTTCTGAAAGAATTAATCTGGCCCCAGTCACTACCCAATGCATGAATCCTCACTTTAGTACTTGAGTGGCACCCTGTACAATACCATGAACACTGCAGTAGGAATGTACTGCCCAACATGGGAGGCCTCTTTCTGAATGTTGAAACATTCTAACCAAGCCAAACCTCGCTATGGTGTCTATCTTTTCATTCTAAGGCAACAAAATGGCCTAACTGATCCTGAGTTGATTCATTTTGGCTATTGGAAGACTAGGGATTTCATGACCTTACATATGGTCACCATAATTATAGGGACATACATGGTGCTGTTTTCCCAAGACCACCCCATTCTCCTGGTGGCTATACTGGGAATTTTATTATAGGACTACGTCCCCAGCCACGGGGATTGATATTTGACACAAAGTAAGACAGTCAGAATCCTCCCCCAAGATTCTTTTCTTAACTGAAACCAGAAAAGGAATCCATTCCTCTCAGATGCAAAGAGCCACAGATTATGAGGCTTGAGAGTCACTAAGGACCATGTTCCTCACCCACATGCAGCCATCCAGGCCACAGTGAGAGAGACTGAAACTGACAGCCAGAGAGCAGCAGAGGTGAGAGCCCTGGCAGCATTTGATTCTCTTACTCCCAAAGGTCTAGAACGCCCAGTTGTACCAGAGCCCTTCATGATTTAGGTGTTAAACCTGTTCTTCAACACAGTATCCTCCCAATAAATTTTCTCTGGCAAATGACAGTTTAAGTTGTGTGTCTGTAGCCACAAGAAGGCCAGAGCAAAGGACGTGAACGGAATCATCTCTGAGCAATGGGTGAGAGAGAAGTAATTTGTAGGTGCGGGGAGGTGAGGGATGATGAGTCAGTAGGAATATGAATTATTAAAGTTATTACAACTCCAGTCACACATTCTGATGATGCCTGGAGATAGTAAAATAACATGGGTGTGACCCTCTGGAGCCACAGAACAGAGGCCAATACTTCCTATAGACTTTCAAGCACCCAAATATAGCTATCAGGTCACCTTGAAAGAAAATACTTTAAATTTCCTCATTTTGATCGTCTTCTTGATATGTTCCTATTTTTACTCTTTCATTTTATATCACTGAATAATGGCTAAACAGAAAGATGATGCTTCTATGTTGTGTGCATATGTGTAGACCCATGTTACTACTACACTCAGACTGACAAAACTGCAGCATCCATATTTTTTAAAACTATGTATAGGGCTTTGAATTTATCTTTTAAAATCTCATTTTTTTTGTTTCAATTCACTCTTCACGCTTTTAAAAAATTGCTTTATACAATGATGGCTTCATTTAACCCATTAATAAATATATTACACGTATTCTCTAAAACTTGTTTCTATTTTCAATTTTAACTATGGAATAAATAAGTGGAATAACACTTGAGTAAGAGATAGTAGCTATAAACTCAGTCATTCTGAAGTTTGGTCTACATGACACATACTTTTTGGACACCAGGAAATGTTGGTCAAACTGGAGGCTTGACATTACACAGAAACAATTAATAAATGTGGACTTCGTTGAAATAAGTTACTGCATAGTTTATTTAAATAAAATACATGAAAATCCATATAAAAACATATTTTTAAAATGTAAGTTACTGTTGTTAATACATCTAACATAAAGAGACATACTACTGCCTCAGAGATCAGAATATCAACAATATTACAAAGAATTTAAACTTCAATATCAGCTAGCATAATTAGGAACAGCTAGCTCTTGACTAAAATGTTGATGATAACACTATTAGAGAACTCTACTGCTCACAAAGCCATTTCATATATGTGATCATATTTGATCCTCAAAACAATTCAGTGAGGTATCGCTAATAATTTTATACATACTGCTATCCCTATTTTTGAAACAAGTAAACTGAGACTGAAAAAGGTTATAAGACTAGTTTAAGTCACACAGCTAATGTGTGGCAGGTCTTTAGATTATGAATCCCATGGTCTTTCTGCTATAACAGTTGGAAGAAACAGTTTGAGGATTCTGAAAGGTTTTAAATAAAACAAACATTTATAAAACTTCAAATTACCTTCTTTAATTGTTCTTGAGCTCTTTGTAATTCTTCTATTCTCTGTTTCTCTTTTTCTTGCATTTCCGCCTCCAGCTGGAACGCCAGCTGTTCCTGAACATTCAGAAACATATTAGCCATATTACAGTCAGATCAATTGCAAGATAATTAAGCATATACCCACCTAAATTTCAGAAACTTACAAAAATAAATGGCCACGGCCACCTAATACTGTAGCTTTTACAGATATTTCCTGAAGTATAAATAAAAATAGGAGCTTTCTTAATTGCTAATTATGGAAAGCACAAATTGTACCAAATCAGGCAATTTTCTCTGTTCTTCTTGAAGCTGAAAATGAGACTGAAGTAATTTTTTTCAAATAAAATCTCTTTAAGCATAGGTGGATCTACCAACTACCAAACCTTGGTTGTAGAACAGTGGGTGAGAAAATTTTAAGAATACTATTAGAAACCATGGATAATCAACAATATATTTGGTCCCAACTAAACATATACATCACACTGGAATAGGCATCAGCAATAAAGCTTGCGGGCCAAATCTGACCCAACTCCTGTTTTTGTACAGCCCACAAGCTAAAAATAGTTTTTACACCTTGAAACAATTGCAAAAAATCAAAATAATATTTCATGGCACTTTAAAATTATATGAAATTCAAATTTCAGCATCCATAAATAAAGTTTTATTGAAACACAGCCATGCTCCTTCGCTTATGTATGGTCTATGACTGTTTTTGTGCTACAACAGCAAAGTGGAGTAGTTGTAACAGAGACTATATGTGGCACTCTCATGGCTTTGCACTGCTGCTCAGGACACTACAAATCACAGTGACATCTTTATATCTCAACAGTGTTTGGAGGGCCACAGTATCACTATACCATAATTTTTTTTTATTGTATCCATCATGTCAAAACAAGAAAAAAAGTGAACTCTGAATGCCACACTTTCAACAGTGTTTGGAGGGCCACAGTATCACTATACCATAATTTTTTTTTTATTGTATCCATCATGTCAAAACAAGAAAAAAAGTGAACTCTGAATGCCACACTTCTAAGGCACAATGAAGTGTGGACTATTCTGTTATCAAATTAAATGGCAAAATATGGTTTTTATTATACATTGACACTGTGCTAAAAGAATACAATAAGCATCAACATTACAGAAGAAGCATTCACAATATTCCCAACTCACATGAAAGTAAAGTCAGAAAAATTGGAAAATTTAAAACAGAATCATTTCATTAAAGCACAATTTCTTCACAAATATTAAAAATGAAAATATGGCTGTAGCAAAAGTAAGTTTCCAAGTAGTTCATTGGTTATCCAAGCAAATCCAAGCAAGGAAAGACATTTATCAATGGTAAGTTCATTAAAACATGTTTGATTTCAATGGCTGAAGAAATGAGTCCAGAAAAAAAAACAAGCGTGTTTAAGATTTCAGCCTCTTGGCAAGGATGGCCGCTGAGAGAGGTGACACTGGGAGCAACATCAATAGTCTATAAAAACAAGGCAAATGACTCTGAGTGGTTTTCCTTGGCTCTTAACGAGTGGACAGATGTTCCCAGCACTGCTCAGTTGCTGTTTATTTATAGAGTCAATGCTGAGTTTGAACTGATAGAAGAATCAGCCTTTATGAATAGTCTTTATGGAAAAATTACAGGCAAGAATATTTTCAAAGTTGAGAAACACTAATACGATACGACCTGAAGTGAGATCCGCTAAGATGTGTTACAACTGATAGTGATAGATATGTATGTGGTATGCAATAAGGCTTAGTTGAAAAAATTTACAAACTGTGAGAAAATATAAAGTGTTTAAAGGTTGGAAGTATTCAACAGCAGCTACTCTGCAGAAAATATTTGAAAATCTATCATGTTATTGAGCCAGTAGTGCCAACTGTGACTATCACTCGCTCTTTAGTGTGCGTGTGTGCGTGCATGCGAGTGTGTGCGTGTGTGCGTGCGTGCGTGTGCGTGTGTGTATACCACAATTTCTTCATCCAGTCACCTGTCAACAGGCATTTATGTTTTCCTATTTGCTAATGAGTTGTTTGAGTTCCTTATACATTATGAATATTAACCCCTTATCAGATATATGGTTTGCAGGTATTTTCTAGCAATTTGTAGGCTGCCTTTTTATTTTGTTGACTGTTTCCTTTGCTGTGCAGAATGTTTGCATTTGGGCTGGTCCCACTTGTTTATTTTTGCTTTTGTTGCCTGTACTTTGGGTGTTGTATCCAAAAACTCACTGCCAAGTCCAATGTCAAGGAGTTTTCCCATACTATGTTTTCTTCTATCAGTTTTATGGTTTCTGGTCTTATGTTCAGGTCTTTAATCCTTGTTGAAAATTAGTTGACCATATATGCTTCGTTTTATTTTGGGGCTCTCTATTCTGTTCCAATGGTCTGTGTGTCTGTTTTTATGCCAGTACCAATTACTATAGCTATGTAATATAGTTTGGAAACAGGTAATGTGCTGGCTGCCTCCAACTTTGTTTTCCTTTCTCAGGACGGCTTTTGCTTTTTCAGGGTCTTTTGTAGTTCCATATGAATTTTAGAATTTTTTTTATGTTTCTGTGAAGAACGCCATTGGAATTTTAATAGAGATTAAGTTTAATATGTAGATTGCGTTAGGTATTTTGGACGTTTTAACAATATTAATTCTTCCAATCCATGAACACAGCATTTCTTTCCATTTATTTATAACTTCTTCAATTTTTTTTATTAGTGTTTTATATTTTACCTCCTTAGCTAAATTTATTCATAAGTTTTATTCTTTTTAATGCTATTGTAAATAGAATTGTTTTCTTGATTTTTTTTTTGATAGGTTATTTGTGTACAAGATTTAAATTTTTCTGAATGAGAAGAACCATTTCCAACCACTATTATCAAACGTTATATGGCCTTAGAAATTAGCTTTTGCTGCAGACTTGATAATGTTTCTTAATTAAACCTAAAATTATAAGGCAAAACAGCACTGGTATGTAAAACTTACAATGCAGTAAAGTCACTTCAACAACAACTCATGTTGTTTGAATCGCAAATAATGTCAAGCTGCTTTATACTCTTCCAGTGCTGTCAAAAACTAAAACAATACCTCCATTCCCACACATATTGGCAGTGGATATATTTTCCAACCTCAAACTACAGTTCCAGAGTATTTTTTAGGCCTCAGTGTAAATGCAAAGGAAATTTTCAATTTCAAAATCTATTTAACTGAGCTATTAAGAAGCTTCTACCAACCTTCAACTGGAAGTGATTAATCTACAAGGTAATGACACACTAAAAGGCAGATATCAGGAGAAAAAGCTAATGAGTTCTACAAATGCCTTCTTAGAGATTAATATGCTTAAATTATATACACATGGATTGATATCAATATTTGACAGTACCTATCCGGGTGAAAAGATATTTTCAAAGATGAAATACATAAAAACTTATTACAGATCAGCATTAATACATAACCGTTTCTAATGTTTATATAAAATTTTCGATGATAGGGAACATTACCTTTGAACTCCAATTAAGTGAAATGTTATCTTTTAAAAAAAATTCTCATTAGTAAACCTGTATTACAAAAAATTTATATTCTATTTTTATTATTATCACCATTATTTGAATTTCATCAATGCAACATTTTGTAGGAATTTGTTTTCTCTCTTGATATACCTATATAATACCATAATACCTACAAAATATTCATAATTTTGCCTCTTGGCCTGCAAAGCATAAAATATCTTCTACCTGACCCTTTACAGAAAGTTTGCCAATTCCTAAGCTAGAAAATAATTTCTCATTATCAGTCCAGCACCATCCCATAAGCAAGCTAAGCTCGTCCCATTAAGAGCATTTTACAACATTTTCTAAATAACACATTTTTTAAATAATACATTCTTACAAATAAAGGTATAATAAACAGTGATTAATATTTTATTAACAAAAGGTTTTTGGTATTCCTATGTTATTTCCACTAAGACAAAAGTGATGGGGTATTTGAAATACAGAAATAGTATCACTTAATTAACTTTTAGACATTGGTAGAGGAAGTGAAATAACTCCAATCTCTCACCGTAATGCAAAGTGCAGTTGTTAAATATCAAGTGGATTGGTCAGTGTAACCAGCATCTCTACCCTTCAGCTCCCGTGGTTCAGAAGGCACTGAGAGGCCTCTCTGTTTCTTTCCATCTTAGCCCTTCTCTCATCTATTTTTGCCCACCAATCCACTTCTTTAACTGGCCATAAAATCTTCTACAGAATATTATTTTATCCTCAACCTACCAATGTTGCTTTGTGTTGCTTTGCCCCCCACGGATTTGTCGCCCACTTCCCCTGTGTGACGGAGACGCAAAGCATTACTCAAAGCCCATCTCTTCTGAACAGTGAGAAGCCCCCAAAAGGGGTTAACTTCCCTGCGACCCCCCAGCAAGAAGCAACCCTTCCTCAGGGAATTAACCCTGAATTGGGGTTCTCTTCCTGCATTTATTTTCCAGACCAGGAAGTTACAGGAAGAGACATAGGTGGGGTTATAGTTTAACAATATAAGCTGGTAACTTTCAGTGAAACAAGCCAGATGACATTCCAGTAGACAATTAAGTGGTCTTATCAACAAAAGCTTGATCTTAGCAAACATTCCTTCTTACAGTAATTTCTCAGTATCTTTACATAACAATCAGTAACTAGTCTGTCCTTGAGCCAGCAACCTTGCTGTGCCATGAATCTTTATCTTACACCAGAGACTTTATAGCCTGAGGAAAATTTCTAGTCCTCCAGAATGTCAATATTTGAAACTGC